AACTGCCTCTCTGATACCAAGATACTCACCCAGTATTCCTTGATAGTGTCCCAAAACGTCATGCAAAGATGAGGACTTTGATCTCTTAAAATACTGTCTTGTGACTCAGATAAGTTTATAGCCAGCACAGGCTGGAAAGTATGGAGAGAAAGAGGAGCAAACGTGAAATGCAGACAAAAGAATAATCATGCTTGTGGAAGCAGGAGACTAAACCCTGCCTCATACTTGTCAGCCCACAGTTCCTGCTTTTTTTGCCAGCAATTGCTGACTTTTTTTCATGCTACCCTCTAATACCATTGGGATGGTCCATTCCTGGGCTGCTTTGCATTATATTCATGAACTGGAATAGGAACTTACAGCACTTCTTTGCTTTCTTCTTTTCTAAGTCCTTTTCCTCAGAAGAAGAGTGGAGTGGCACTTTGGATGTGATATGGGTGAAACTATGTAGCTGGTATTTGACTGAGGAGTTATGGCACTTGATTGCACATTAATGTAGTTTGACTTCCTTGAATATTCCTATTGAAGCAGAGGTAGTATTAATAGTGCTTCTTGTAATTTTGGTTCATGTGTATTGCCTTGGTTCTTTAACTTATCAGTCTATGAGCTTTCTTTTTGCCTTGTGTTTTTAAAGGCAGAAAAATAACACTTCCAACTTCATTATTTGTATTCCAAGACCTGTCAACCTGTGCTGTGAGTGAGGGTGCTGTGCACTTGTGGCCCTATCAAACAAAGGTGTGTACACAGGAGTCACTTGGAGAGATGTTGCAGAAAGCTTGTACGATGAAGGTATTTGCTCTTCAGACGCCAGTGTTTACCCCTGGAAAGTAAAGCAGCCCTTGTCTATGAATGGAAGCAGTCACCTGACTCATGGGCACCCAGGCTGACCAGAGCAACAAGCAACCCCTGCTGCTGCCATTGCCCACAAAATAATAAAGCTGAGAGGTGTGTGTTTGGATATTTGGAACGGGAGGGGGAAGCTAGAGGGGCATTTTCCACAAACCTGTAGGAGGCGAGGCTCTTAGAGTTGTGGACTGCTGTGCACTGTTTGTCTTCATTGTAGATGTTAAAGATTTTCTAGAATTAAGTTATGTAAGGTTTTGGACAGACTTTGGACTTTTTTCTGTGGATTCTGGAGGTCAGCAGTTTCAGGCTTAAAATCTCTAAACTGTGTAGGTTTTCTCTGTTTCTCTGTAGAAACCCTTAGTTCTTTCAAAATATGTGTCCGCTCTGTCCTTGATAAATAACAGGTAATAACAATAGTTACATTCTGCATGGGAAGTATTTCCTGTCTGGGCTTGGTAAGTAACTGAGATGTCATGTTCTTTTGTGCATGGTGATTCTTCACTTCAACTGCAGCAGCTTTTCCTACTGTCTTAATGGTGTTCTTCTTCCTACTGTGCCACCAGGAAGGGAAGGATACTTTCACAGGGGAATATGTTGTCAGCAGCAAGTAATAATTTTGCAGCAAGAAGACATTGTAAGGCTTTTCTACATAGGAGTTATTGAGGAAAAAAAACCGTGAATCTAAAGCCAAATCGCCCTTTGGAGATGACTTGGAGCAGATGAGATCATCAGATTTTCAAAAATTAGGTTACCCTCCGGCTTTTCAGCTTCTTGTCATGGGATCAAAAGAAATTAATCCTGAACTGCAACCATCTCTTTACCAAAAGCTTCTACCACAGCAAGATCATTCACTGTTCTTCCTTAATTTCTGTCTTTCCTCAGCGTGCAGTTTTAATGTTTCTGTATTCAAAAGGTCAGAACTTACTGTCTTGCTCATTATTTTGTTCGGCAATGAATGCTTCAGCTGATATTTGTCTAGGATGACCAGGCTAGTTGTGAATTGGTGATGACTAAAAAAGGTTGAGAGCTCCTCTTCCTAGAATTGAAGTCTTGCTTTTTTCATTTGTGTTTCATAATGGATAAATTATGAGGTCTAAAAGAGTTTTTAAACTATTTTTGTGTTTATTTTCACTATACACAAATGAAACTTTTAAATTCATTCTCCCTCTTCCTTGCTAGTCTATTGGAGATTTCTGCATCTTTCTTGGATGTAATTTATTACAAAAATGAACATCCGGAAAGCTGGTCAAGATATGGCAGGCGCTTCTATTGATATTTTTAAGTTAATTTTAAAATCTGTTAGTAAAATAGCTTTAACTGGCTAACTAAAATCCCTTCTACTTAGCAGGGAATGTTAAAGTTTACAGGTTTTTAAGGCATTGCCTTTTAATAAATTCCCTTACATCACAGGCTTCTAATTTAGACAGACTATAAAATTTTAACCTAAAGAGAATATTAACAAACAGGAGAAACCTCTGCTAACAGAACTCTAAGCATACCATCATCAGTGACTGGGACATGGTGCCTTGTCCCCCTGTGCTTGGTATTCATCTTCATTAATACAGATCAGTGCAAGGAATTTGGTAGGGAACTGTTAACATCCGTATAGAGCCAATTAAAATGTTTTAGGAACAGGAACTATACACTAAATGACATATATTTGACTTGGGTTATAGAAGGAATGAAAAATGAAGGGCTTTGTTTGCCACAATGCATATAATGTAGCCATTTTCTATTTTATATAGTTGTTTTATTACATTTCTATTAGATTTGTTGCTGTTTTATGTTGTTCACCAGTCTGCACAACTGTGTTACTGTTAAGTGCAAGCACTTCGAATTCTTAAGGGAGGAATCTTCATTAACACAACTCTTACTTAAATGAAAACTTTATTTTGTAATTAAATCTAAAGTTTCCTTCATCATGTTTTTAAAATCACTTCTAGAAAATTTTCTGACCTTCAGAACTGCCATTGAATCTTAGGGGGTGTTTTGTGGGCTTTTTGTTTCCACAGTGAAATTAATGGGGTTTACTGTACCTCTTACCCAAAATACAAGGCAGGTGCTCACTAGGAAGGAGAGTTTTGTGTCAGCAGTGACTCAGTGAATTTGAGTATAGAGCAATACTATTTGATAATATCAAAATACATCTCCATTTTCATATGGTTTGCTGTTTGCACAAATCAATTGAAAGTGTTTCTGTCTTTGTGATATCCTTGGTTGCTGCACCCACTAGGATGCTGAAGGCTGATCGTTAGAGTCTTTTTATTGAAAAATTCTCCATGTGTCTACAATTGCTTATTTCTCTATTCAGTTTTCTGTAGCTGGTTTCACCTAGTGCAAAAATGAAAAGTGTTGTTTTCCTTCTTGAAATCAATGCCTTGAGGATTTAGTTTCTTGATCTACTTTAAAAATAAGTCTATTATTTCACAAGACAAAAGCAAGAATGTTATCACTTAGTCCTGACACATAATTGCCTGAGTGAGTCAGAGTAGAGGGATGCACCACACATCATAATTCACCTGTAATTCTCATTTCTCAGTAATTTCAAGCTGTTCCTGAGAGTACTGTATCCACACATCCCTAGCAACATAGCCACTCAGCTTTTTAAAACCTCTTTTCTCATGTGATCTTAGTCACTGCCTTCTTTCCCATATGAAATCTTTTAATTGTTGTTGATCTAGAAGTTCTTTAGCTTAAATAATAACAGTTAACTGTATTTTTCCGAATTTCTTCTGATATTTGATAATTTTGATGGAAGGTGGAAAGAGAAGCATTTTTAAAAAATATTTACCTCCTGCCACTAAAATAGCAGTTTATCATGTAGAATACAAAGAGGAGCTGATGGGAAAAATTGCTTTCAGGTAATAAATTTTTTAGATCTGGTTATAACTCCAGCTTCTCAGATGTTGTACAGAACAGAGCAGTATTATCTAGTGTTGCTTGCATCAGAATTCAGAGGTCCTTAGGCTGCTTTTTTTGTACCTATGGTTCTCCCAGTTTTGTGAATTATTTGTGAAGTGGCCTTCCGAGAGAACATGCTTCCTATGAGTACATTCTTCCCCAAGACCCTGGGGAGGAGATGCTGGGAGCAGAGCAAGGATTGTTCAGGAGATACCTAAGTAGGGTGTGAAGAATGGAGAGGCATGAACAAGGGTTTTTTATGGAGGAAGAGGTTTGTTTTGTCAGGAACCACTGTGCCACTAACTGAGTTACAGTTCCTCAGTGAGGGCTTGAGATGAAGCTGTTTTATTTGAAGAGTGTGTGGGGTTGTAACTAGCAATGCCTTCTGTCTCTCTGAAGACCTTATGATCCATCTTCTCTTGCAGGATTTGTGCCACTTCTATGTTCAAACAGTTCTCAAACCATGGGGTTTTAAGCTGTAGTTGTAATATGACCTATGAATATTCTTCTGAGCAAGCAGCAACAATCCAGCTCTAGACCAGGCTTGAAATGTCCACGTTTCCAGCAGTTTTATTTATTCTTTCCTAAACAAAAGTGGCTGTTGATCACTGTTCAGACCTTGTGCCTATTTGTAAATATGTAGGTGTCTAAAAAATACATGTGTGTGTTCACATGGTTGTCTCTGTCTCTAAGAGTAAAGCAGGTCCAACAGAAGGTAGAAAGCCACCAATGAATTAATTTTGTCAAAACTGGGAAATATTAGATATGAAACCATGAGGAGATCTAGTCCAAATATCAAATTAGAAGAGTGAACAACACAGATGGAAGGAGAGGATATAAGAGTCGTATACTTACATTAAAGAATAGGGGTTTTCTCTTCCTTAGTACGTCTAATAACTCCTCCTCCATCCATGATCTGTGCCTGCTATGGATGTGAGTTTGGGGCCGTCTGACTGAGGGAAAGGTGTTAAGAGGGGAACTTATTTTCTTATTTTCTTAATATCTGATGCATAAAAAGTGCAAGAACCACACTGAAGAACCACAGCTTTAACAAAGTATGCTGTTTGGTAGACAGGGGCTACCAAATGATAGTAGACATGTCTTTTAGACAAAATGTCATGTAGATGTGACATCTCATAATGGTAGAAGGCAAATATAAAAATAAGGTTATTTTTAATACTGATTCAATCTGGCTGTGGAGGAGACATTGCTTGGATTTAAGCTGAGCATCTCATGTTTTTTGTCTTTCATGCCAGCTCTATGTGGCCACTGAAGCCATCCTCATTGCATTGGTGGGTGCAACTCCTTCCTACCACTGGGATCTCCAAGGGCTCTCAGCTAATCAGAGCCATGGCAACCATTCAGTGAGTGAGCAGAGAGCTTTTGGGGAATGGCTTCTGGCTGCCAATGGCAGCGAGGTGCATAAGCACATACGCTTTGGCAGCAGCTTCACATCCATAGTCTCTGAGGTAAGTCTGAAATGTGTTTTGCAGCCTCGTGTGTGAGTAGTAAATCTTACTGAGATGGTTTTGAGGGTCTCCTCGTACTGCTTTTTTCTTGTATACTAGTGCATGTTTTCATTAGTAAATGAAATGTGCTGCCTCCAGTTACAGCACAGGTAATGTGCTCTTGTCTTTACTGAGCTAGCTTTGTATTTCTATGAAGATCTTGACCAATGTTCTGCTCCACCCACCATTTCCATGTGGAGGGTACATATTGCATCCTGCAGCCTGGTTCCACATTTGAGCTGGAATCATGACATTTGTTTTACTAATTTGCTTAAAATCCATTATGGACCCTGAGCTCTTTCTGGCCATCCCCTTGCTGAGCTCCAGTGCATGTAGCACATCCATCATGCAATTAGCAAGAACTGGAGGAAGTGGCTCCTGCAGTCTTTGCAACCACATATACAAGAACATGGGCAGTGGGGGATCAGGTGGACAAAGCAACTCCCTCACATTCTATTCCAAAACAAAGTTTGGCTTTGTTGGCATGGCCTCTGTGTTTTTAAAGTGATTTCTTTCATGGTCTAGCCAAAGTCCCTATAGGAATGATTCCAGACTCTGCACTGATGTGTGCAGCACCTGCCCTTCCTGTGTCTGTCAGTATCTGTTAATGTCAAATTGTTCTTTACAAGAACCCTGAGTGCATTAGTTACAAGGCCTGAATGTAGAGCTGAACTGTGGAGTCAAGTGTAGTGCCACTTGATAGTTCATGGCTATTGTCCAGAGATATTAATGCTATCTAAATTACTCCATTAAAGCAGTGTATTGGTTAGGAGCATATTAATAAAAATGGCCAGCCTTGGAATAGTACCAAGCCATTATGTACAAAAGGCATTGCTTCTTATTCTGGCAACAAAGAGGATAGAAGTACTTCTGATGTCATTTAAATTAAAATTTTAATGGATAGTGGATTTCTTAAGCATTACTTAAAACTCAGTAAGGTTTTTGAATTTTCTCTGGAGTTTTTCTTTTTTGGTTGTTTTTTTTTTTTTAACTTGCCCAAGAATCTTTTACTCTCTGAAACTTGACAAGTCAGACATGCTTGCAGAGCCTAGCATATGACATAGATTTTATACAGATCTTTATACATTTTGGTTGCATAAATAAGTAGTGCAGGTAAAAAACAAAACCTGCTTAAGCAATAAAAACCCTAAAAACACTCTCCAACAAAAACAAACAAACAAAAAACAAAACAAAAACAAAAACAAACAAAAAACCAACAAAACAAACAAAAACCAAACAAAAAACAACAACAACAACAAAAAAAATAACAAACAAAAAAAACCCACCAGCTCCAAGGCAACTTGTGTAGATTCTGCTTTCTAATTCTTTAGCATATGTTTCAGTAGAGGCATTGAATACAATCTTCCCGCCTCTTCTGTTTCCCTCGATTAAAATACAGTTTTTATTAATTTGTTAGCAGAACATTTGGTATATTTGGAGGTTATGTGTTAAGCACAAACATTTTGAGAGAGAACATACATATCTGGAGAATATTTCACCATTAATTCATTATTAATCTAATTTCATGATTGATTGTAAAGACGTTTTTTCCTACATTTAAGAGAGTGTGTCAATGCTTAACCTTGTGGCATCACTGATAACATGACCATTACAAATTTACACTGAAAAATATTCTGATGTAAAAAGCTTGATTTGTGAATAAGCAATACGTAGCATGTTTTTATGTAGAAAAGCCTTGAGCTCTCTAAAGGGCTTAGACATTGAGATAAATTTTGAGAACATATTTTGCTTTGCAACCAAATTATCCCTTGATCACTGAATGATTCAGAAAGCATCTCATGTCAACAATTTTAATGTTGGCAGCTTTTAAAATGTTTATACCAAAAGTTAGAGCATGATTCTTGTAGCTATTATAAAACAAACTGACCATGTTATTTCAGGATAAAATTAATCTCATATGCAATTATTTTACAAATATATTTTTCTGGGAATTTTTTTTAAAGTCTGCAGAAGCTTCAAAGCTGATTTATGGTCATGTGGTTAGTTTCAGTTGAATTTTGTCAGTCTTGGTACTTTATGGGCACACTTCCTACTATTATCAGTTACCACCTTTCTGTTAAAGTAACAATTTAAAATGAAGCAGATATAGAAAATAAGCACGTTATTTTCTTGGCGCTTATGAATGATGTTTTGTTAGCATGCTAATATTTGTGAGATTTAATTGCATGGCTCTATTCTCATGATGAGGTAGTTTATAACTGAGCTTTGAAATAATACAAGCTTTGCTAGAAAGGATATTTAATGAGATTTTGGTAGAAGAAGAGGAGATTATGAGGAGAAGGTTAGAGAGCTATTGCAGGGATAATGACATAATCACCAGGTTACCAGCGCAGGAAGAAAATTTGGTTGTTACTAAAAAGAAACATTATCTCAAGGTGCAAGAGGAATAGAAAAAGAAAAGAACAGAAGATATGAAGCACTTAGAATACAAAAGGAAATAACTTTTGAACATTGAGAGTGTGGCATATTTTCATTCTGCACTTCTGTGGAACAAAGAATTTTGTCAGGTTGAACTTGAGACATTAAGTCTGTAAGAATCAAACATTTCAAGATCAGCTTTGTATTTGGAATAGAAAAAGAACTGGAAATGATGAAGTACACTAAAAAAGATGAGTGTGTGCAGAAAACCTGACTAACCTGTCTAATGCTACCAAAGTATTGCTCAGAAACAAGACAGTTTATAAAGAGGACCATGTGCAGGAGTATCTTCAGACATAAACCACAACTATTTTTTCACAATGTGTATTCTACACACTGCAGTGACACAAGTCAATAGGTAGAACTGAGTCTATTTAAGTTAACAGCTTTATGTGAAAGAAGGCAGAAAAAGGAAAAGTGGGAGAAAGCTGCAAAAATTAGAATATTGTGGGGAATCTGCTCTTCGTTTCAGAATCAAAGACTGCATTTGATTTGGGAGAACTGCAACTGTTAGTATCCCGCAGTGAGTCTGGGAGACAGCGGTGGGAACTGGTGATTCCCTGAACATGATGCTTTGGAGATTTATGAAGAGTTTGATCTTCTTATAGTATATTACAACCCATCCAGCTATTAGCTGTTGGTGAACTGTTTAGATTCTGATTAATTTTCCTTTTTGCTGGTTTGTTGTTTCTGTTTTTGTCTTCTCCCTCCATCCAGTGGTTTTTAATTGGCAATGCATCATACAAAGTCAGTGCTGCTAGTTCTTTCTACTTCAGTGGTGTGTTTCTTGGAGCCATTTCCTTTGGCCAGCTGTCTGATCGCTTCGGGAGGAAGAAAGTCTATCTCACAGGTAACCCCTTGACAAATTTAATGACATGAAGATGTTGTGTCCCTGAGGATCAGTGGCAACGGCCCAGTTTCTGCTGAGAGCTTGATACACAGCTGTAAATCATGTATTTTGCTTTTGTTTGTTTTGGCATTCCAATATACTTGTGCTGTAGAAGTTGAGACAAGAAATTAATATTTCACTGTTCAGTCACCATTTTAACTTCTGCAAGGTGTTCTTGGTTTGTGAGTCATGCCATAAAGGCTTTCACTCCTGCAACATTGTGCTCGTGTGATCTCTGCAAATTGCAATTAGTATTTTTAGTAGTTTCGTAACAACATTCTTACCTGTATAACCTGTTAGGAATTTGTGGCACCTTTCATCCCCTGTCTGCATGATTTAATATTTATGTATTTGTGATCCTCATACTGTTTGGAAGCTCATAAGCTTTCTAACTGTCCCTGGATCAAAAAACATTAGAAACTCCATGTTTTGTGTATGTATAAAGTTGTGTATCAATGGATGAGCCTGTAGAGTTTAAAGAAATGTTTTATGTTTTTTGTTTTTCTTTTAAGGAACAACACTTGTTCAAAGTGCATAAAGGTGGTCTGCATGCAGACCCACCATGTATTGTCCCTGGCAATGTTTCTCTTCTCTGGTTTTTATAAACTGCTCTCTAAAAATGAGGAGAAATATTTGGTCATATATTTAACCTGTGGTTTCTCTATCAGGGATAAATATAAAGCCATTTTGAACAGGAGTCAGACAATGGTTCTGCTGAATTTAAATGTTCTAACTGCAAACTATGTATCAAAAACCAACTCCTTCTGTGTCCCCTTCTTTTTGATATTGGCTCTAGGTATTTAAATTTCGTTCCAAACTTGTGGTGGTGGTGTTGACTGTGATGGCTTAGGACAGATGCCAGTGGGCATCAAGTAAAATAAATGCTTCTGGTTTTTTAGGTACCCTTCTAAAATGAAACTTTTTCCTTATTTTCCAGGTTTTACACTTGACATCTTGTTTGGCATTGCAAATGGATTCTCACCCTCATATGAATTCTTTGCTGTTTCCCGATTCTTGGTAGGGATGATGAATGGTGGCATGTCACTGGTAGCCTTTGTTCTACTGAATGAGTGTGTGGGTACAGCCTACTGGGCATTAGCAGGTAAACTGCCTTTATTGTCAGAATTCATAGATTTCAATCTCACATGCCACTTGAGGCACACAAAGCAGTTGCAAATTTAGCTCCACTTGAGCATATCTGTGATCACAGTCTTTGAACTCTGCTTGTTTAATATGAACCTTGGAAAAGCAGGGTAGATGACTTGGGGGCCATTCAGATCTCTTCATCACTCAAGTTGACAAAGATCGAGCTGAGACATCTCGCATGAATATTATCTGCTAAATGCTCATCCAAGGTTTGTCAAAACTGAGTTCTGTTAATCAGAATGTTTGACTCTGCTAAACAGAATAATGAACAAGTGTTCATATGCTAAATATAAATTCTATCCTTCCTGGAAAGAAGGAAACTTCCTGGCAGTTCTTGAAAAGAAATCAGAAGTGTTTTTATATCATAGAAGGATGATGTTGCTTATATGTTACTTAAAAAGTTGTCCCATGTAGTAATTACCCTTAGAATTTAGAAGATACAGACCCCTTAACTATCCTGATTGTTAGTGTTGGACCTCTCCTTCAGAAATATGTGTAAACTGTAGTGCTACAGCTTCAGGGCCTGATTTACAAAGGCCAAGAAGGGCTATACTGAGACTGTTTTAAAATAGGGTGTCTCACAAATCGTGGGAGCTATAAATGGATACTACATATTCCTAAAACTACCAGTTTTTCAATGTTTTATAGTATTTATTTTTACACATAGAAAGGTGCATACTTAGTGCTGCATAATACACATATTTATATTTGGAATTAGAAGACTTCATTATTCACAGGGTTTTGTTGGATATGGAGGATGTAGAAGAGCGTTTTGGGGGCTTTTATTGATCTTTGCAATTAGATATAATACTTCTGCTCTGCATGAATGAAGGACAGGGTGTTCTTTGGTCAAAGAGCTGTGGTTCTGCCTCAATTGCTGAATGAATTTTTGCTAATGAAAAGTTAGTTCTTGTCTGATCCCATTTGTTGAGATTTACTAATGTTTCTTACAGAAGTTTTGTTATGTTTTTAATTGTATGTTAGGTTCTATTGGTGGCTTGTTCTTTGCTGTGGGAATTGCCCAGTTTGCTTTATTAGGGTATTTCATTCGTTCCTGGAGGACTCTGGCTGTTGTGGTTAATCTGGAAGGAGCAGTCGTCCTTCTCCTCTCTCTGTAAGTTGTTTTTCAAATCAAGTTCCATAAAGAAAGATGTCAAAAACAAACCAAGTACCCAAACTGCTAAGTCAAGTTGCCTTTTTAGGATGGCATGAAGTGGTGTAAATAAGGTATTTTTCTCAACTTGTACAATCCCTCCTCCTCACATGATCTGTGGTTTCTTCAAATAGAAGTGCAGCAATATTTGAGCCTGTAAGTCTACAGTGTACTGTGATGCAGTATTACAGTAGATGGAAACAGTGTCTAGGGTGGTAGAGAACCTTATCCTGTTCTTTAGGTGTATGTAGATGACCTAAACTGGTGTGCTACGAGGCACTATAAATACATGTTAAAAGATACAGGAACAGTTTCATATTTATGTGATATCATGATGCTTCTCTTGTGTTTACGCAGAAGGAACAGCATCAAAATTACTTGCCTGTCCAGTCTTAAAAGTGACATGCAAAGGAAAAAATGGGCAGCTCCCTTTAATTTTTCAAATGTGATCTTTTTGCAGAAAGTAGGGTCTTTGTAAATTTCAGCATTGAAAGCTCTGTGATGCAGTGTGGTCTTCTTTTCTTACATACTTTCTAATATCTAAATCTCAGTAACTAAAAGAGCTAAATTACTTTAGCTACTGTTTAAATTAGAGGTCTTTTCCTTTCCAACCTCTATTTCACTTCAGTAACTGTTTGAATAAAGCTTTTGTTCCTCAAAAAATCCACACATCCTTTCAAAGGGAGCATCAGAACTCAGGGAAGGGTCTTTGAGGCTGTTCGTGAGGTGAAAGGTAGAAATGACACTTTGGATATTTCAAAACCTTGTGGTAATAGGGACCCTTGGGAAAAAAAATTAACTTTTAGATTTATAGGGACAACTTTTTAAAGTGAGTTATGCTTGTGACTTCAGAGCTGTGCTTAGAAGGCTGTCTTTCTTGTAAGAAAAGAGGGTTTTTTAGTTCCAAATTTAACACTGCCTCCCTGCCACATTGCTTAAAAATTGCTTAATGTAGAAAATACTATCAGATTTTTATTCTGGGGAAGAAACTATGTTCGTTTCTAAGCTCTTTTATTGGGTGAAAACAGAATGACATTCTTTTAAACTTACAGGGAAAATACAATTTTTGATCTGAGGTAAAAATCTTATAAACCTTCTGGCAAAAGACTAAATTTTAAATTAGTTCTGGAAGCCTGAAAAGAATAGAAGATTTGTGTAGTAGACAATATTGGAGCTACAACCTGTCAAGTGAACAGTGCACGTGAGGAGCATGACCTTTGCACAGTTTCTGCCTTCTTGTCTACAGGAGAGAATTTGGCAAAAAGCTGAAAAATGGGAAGTGAAAGTTGGTCTTGTGGAAAATGAGAAATGGAACTAGTGGGCCATATAAAAGCATCCTGTGTTACTTGTGTGCCTCCTTAATTCTGAATTCTCCAAAGATGGGATCTTAATCATACTGTAACTTGTAATGTTGTTCTTTCTATGTGTTTATATCTGTGTATACATTCAGTGTAATTTTTTGGTATCTAAATTATGTATGGCTTACATTTCCTTTCAATATGCTTTGTTTCTGTCTCAGTAAGTGAATTTTATACCTGAAGGATTGTTTGAAAACTCTTTATTATACTGAAGTGCATTTCAGCCTTATTCCTTTAGACAAGTCCAGCCTCATAGAGAAGAAAATCCGTAAAAGTGTGTGTTTGTGTGTGTGTGTTTCAGATTCATTCCTGAGTCCCCCCGCTGGCTGTATTCCCAGGGCCGTCTGAACGAGGCAGAAGATGCCCTCTACCTCATTGCAAAGAGGAATCACAAGCAGAAATGCACTTTTTCATTAAAACACCCAGCAGAGAGGAGCTCCAGAGAGGCTGGCAGCTTTATGGACCTGTTCCGATACAGGATTCTCCTGGGACGCACCTTGATCATGATGTTCACCTGGTACTGGAAATACTTTGTAGGCTCAGCTGTTCTACTGTGACCTCTTTAAGTCCTTCAGAGAATATGGTGCTGAGAATTGCCTCGTCCTACAGATTGTTAGGGAGAGTGTACCTAAAAATGATCCTTTATGGTATTTAAGTATCTGTTACAGTATTTCCTTAGTGCATTTCTAGCACAAAGCCGTTTTTGCAGTCCAGTTCTGAGGTATTTTATCTCTGCATTTCTATCTTGTGTTTTGAGTCTCAAAACAGTTGAGAACTACCCTTCAGTTCTGACCCACAAGGCTGCTGAGATTAGTCGCAGTGTCCTCATCTTAGGCCCAGAGCTGTCAGTATCTCTTCACATGGATTATTCCTTGATTTGTGTGTAAGGAGCCCATTACCAGGTGGGTGGCCTATCTTGTCTAATGAGCAGGCATTGTAGGCAACAGTTCTTAAGAGGAAATTCTGGCTGTTGCTGTAGTGAGGAGCAGGAGCCTGTGATGCTCCCTCTAGTCACTAGTAGAAATTTAACTCCAAAAGTGTCTGGGTTTTTTTCAGATTTCTTGGTAGCCCTGAGGTCTTTTCGCTGCTACTTAAAAAGACCTTACGTGTGACATGGTATGCAGGTCCTTGGGCATTACTGCTCATATAGTGGCTTTTATAATGTGTATATTTGGGGAAGATGTATCAGTTAAGAATAAAACAAATGGTTTTGTCAGTATACAGCACTGAGCTGTTTTCGTGTCGCTTTTCCAAGTGCTTACTGCAGAGTAGATAGTTGTTTGTTCTGTTCCTTAAATGAGAATTGCTGATTTGCTGCAGAATGAATTAGTGACCAGTTTCTTTCCTCTCTGTAAAGGCAATTCCCTTTACAGGGGTTAACATAAGGTTACAAAAGAAAAGTTGAACAGAGTTGGAGGATGAATTAATAAAACTGGACCAGGGTGTAGAAATTAAAAGAAGACTGAAGTGTTGTTTGAACTGCTTGAGAAATTTGATTTATACACAATTGGAAAAACTGTGGATGAAAGTGTAACCTGATAAAAACAAAAGTGACAAAGACATTTCTGAAGTTAAATAATATAGTCATGATGGTATTTTATACTTTATGCACACTGTTTGTAAGTGTAGTCTTAAGTTCTATTCAGTAGTAAGTCAGGAATTGGGTCTTTGCTGAGGCAAAATCGTTTATTTGCCTAGAAGGCATCATATGCTTACAGGGAAACATTTTAGACCTATCTGCTGAAATACTAAATATAGTTTTTAGTGTATTGTGCCAGACCAGTGCTTCAATTTGGCAGGCAAAGTGTCAACTCTGATTTGACTTTTTTTTTCCCTCCTGTCTTTTGCAGGTTTGTGTGCAGCTTGGTTTACTATGGTCTTACCCTTAATGTGGGTGACTTAGGTGGAAGTATTTATGCCGATTTAGCTCTGTCAGGCTTGATAGAAATCCCAGCGTACCCAATATGTATTTACTTGATTAACCAAAAATGGTAAGTATGGAATTTATTAACCCATTCAGGATTTCCTTATAACTTTTCTCAAAGATAGGTTTTCTGTCTATCACATCTCCTAGCTTACATCTCTTGTGTGGGGTTTCCTGCTTCAATGTGAAAGTGTCATTGATTTATCTCTATTTCAAATAGCAGTTTAGCTTGTTTTCAGTTGCTCACCTAGTGATGAGCCATCTCTCTGGCTTAGGTGGGTGGATGTAGCTTGGAGGAAACTGTGCTGCCTCCCGGCTAACACTAGATAGCGTCCTTGCAACCGCTGCCCCGTGATCCCATCCTCTCTGCAGGGACAGAGCTATCCCGGCTCCACTCTGCTGGGGCTGGCGTGTGGTCTCCTGCAATAGCAGTACCTGTGTGAGCTACTATGTGAGCAGAGCAGACATTCAGCCTTTGCCTGAACAACGATATTCTGGACAGAGTCTCTCCCTTCTTATATAATTTCCTTCCAGTCTCTCCTCTGTGTCTCCTGAGGAAGTTTACAAATGTCACACACAACGGGAAGCAACCCCAAATCCTGGAAATTGTCGAGTGCTATATAAAGTTGACAATCATTTTGTTAGGTGTGCAGCAGAAGCTTTTTTAAAAACGGTGTGAGAGGAAGCATTGGTGGAAGATGGTATTCAGAGTTCCCAACTGCAAATAAAGAGTCAGTGTGAATTCAGAGGATTCATTGCTTTGCAACCCACTAACCTAATGCAGAATATAAACCTTTGTTTTCTTTGCATATCAGGTTTGGTCGGAAGCGAACGTTGAGTGCATTTCTGTTCCTAGGAGGATTGGCTTGTCTTATTGTCATGTTTCTGCCTAAGAAGAGAGGTAAGTATTTTTTTTTGTTGTTTTGGAATATGTGGTAAGAATTGGTAAAAGCAGCATCCTGCAGTATAACAATTTGATGGCTGCTGAAAGATTAGGCTCCTACCACATGTGAGTCTCAATTTTTGAAGCTGGAGAAGCCAACTCAATAAAACAATAAGCAGTACCCTCCCTAAGACCTTAGAGAAAACTTGTTAGTAAGGTTTGGATTTGCATTTTTGTCTTTGGGTTCTGCCCTTTACTTCTGTTCACATCAGTTACTCCTTTCCAGTGTTTTTGACATAATCCCAATGAATGATACTTCTTGTGATATCTCCAATAGCTAGATCATAGGTTAGTATAAGTAGTACCCATGCAACTTGGATGTATCTCTCCAAGTAGAAGATCAATGTCAGAATATCTAAAGAACTGAGTGATGGAGCAAGTTTCCATCTTTCCCATACTACTTTGTAATGTTCAAGAGTAGTGTGGTTGTGGTAATAGTAATGTGGCTACATAACTTATAGCTCAGAGAGCATTCTGATAAACTTGTGAACTGGGGGTCTTTAAGAAATGTGAAATTAAACATCTTTTGTGTAAAGATGCACTAACGTTAATTTTCAGATCACATAGCAGTTTTTCTTTTTAAAACCAGATAGATAAATTCACCTTGCTCGTAAGATCTATGGATGTATATTACCTTTCATAAAGTGAGAGAATGTTTCAAACGCTTGAAGAGTGATTCAAGAAATTAAACATCTATGACACAGTACAGAATTTGATCTAGATGGTAGTGGGTCTAATAGATAAAGTTTTTTTTTAAAGGGTGCAACTTAAGTTTTCAGAATTATTCCAGGTGCTAGAGCATGGACACTTGGAAATACTCTGGTTTGGCTGGTACCAGTCATCAAGTATTTTTTGCATATCACTCCAAGCATAAGAGGTGAAAAGAGAGGACAGAACTGTGAGACGCCAGGAAATAAGCTGTGTACTGAGCTGCCCAAGTCAGGCAAGGGTGAAGTGCCTTGAGAAGTGAAAGGGCTCACTGGCCAGAAGGAAGCACCTGTCTTCACTGGGCATGAGCTCTGATTTGCCTGTTATAAGCAAATACGCACTGGCTGTTCTGACAAACTAAGCTGTGTGAGAAATTTGGTACGATTCTTAACAGCATCTTCCTTTCAAAATAATAATGTTAGAAGAATACTGTCACAGTATAGAAATGACAATGAATAGGACTCTTGTTAAAAAAAAATGTGCTCACTTTTGGAAAATATCTGTTATACTCTTCTTCAACTTTCTGATAGAGCTAATTTAGTATTTATTTAGTGGAAGACCAAAAATACTGAGTTGTAGCTTCAGCTTTTAGATTCTTTACTAGATTCCTTTTCACACCATACTATTGTGTGATTGAAATGATCAGAGGTGTATTGAAGTGCTCGAAAGCCTTGCAAGAGTCACATTTTCTCTCTCAGATACTGGAATGTTTGCAGTGGTGAACAGTCGCTCTCTGTCTTTGCTGGGAAAACTGGCAATAAGTGCTGCTTTTAACATTGTCTACATCTACACATCAGAACTTTATCCCACGGTCATAAGGTAATACAAGTTAATTTTAAGTCTTCATTTTTCTGTTTCTCTTACATGATTGTGTTTTATTGCTCTTATTTTTTTCTATTCAGTATAGTTTTTAATTTGAATTTTTCAGTTGCATATAATGATTAGATGTAGTTTTACATCTGAAAATTCTTCCCTTATCTTCTCACTCCCTCTTCCGTCAAATTTGCAGTGTTCTCTTCAGACTAACCATATTTTTATGTAGCAGTAAAATATGCTTGGCCTTCTTACAACTCCCTTTCTGCTGATGAGGCACTATAGCACTGCTGATATTTCTTTAAATGAGTGATTTATAAAACCAGACAACTCTATCATCATACATGCTTAACCAGGAACATTGAAGATGACTGATCAATAAGCTTTGTAAAAGTAACTTGGTTCCTTCACAGGCTGTGTGTGAGCAACAGTAAGATTTCACTCGCTAGGGGCAAAAATACCCCCTGCTTGTGCTGACAGAGCAGAAGGAAGCTTCTGCTCTGTGGGTGCATATGATGGTCAGCCACTAGTGAAACTATACTGTGTTTTTTTTCATGAGTGGGTAAATCTGATGATAAGTAGGATTTGAATAAATGAATTCAGCCAGAGTTTCAGACAGAGACAAGATACATGAACTGGAAACACGCTTGTTTTGCCTATGTGTTTATGTAAAAATTCTGAATGTAAAGGGGATTTTTGCTTAATTTTAATTACAAAAACAGGTATCATTCCTGTCGTGGGGTGCTTTCAGTTACATTTGACTTTTCTTTGCCAGTTAATGTAGTCAGGGTCATGACTGATGAGTCTTTTTCTTTTGCTCAATAACATTTTTCAAAAGAATTAATGATTTTTGGTTTTTTTAATAGGAATGTTGGAATGGGTGCCTGCTCCATGTTTTCTCGTGTTGGTGGAATCATTGCGCCTTTTGTCCCTTCATTGGTTTGTCTGAACTTCTGTTACATATATTTTTGTTCTGTGGCTCTAGTGTATCAGAGGCTTACAGAGATGGGAATGTTTGGTATAAATTTCGTATATAAATTAAGATACATAAATTGCCTATCTTAACAGTATCATGGTAGGCCAAAGCCATTACAGTATCATCTGTATGATTAGACAAAACCTCAACATTATTTAATTTAGAAGGTACTTTAGCTCTGTAGGAGTTTTGGGACCTAGCTAGTGGACCTTAAAATATAATAATTTCAAATCACCAAGATAGTGATATCACAATTTAAACCATGCACAAGCAATAAGAAAAGATCCATGTGTTTAAAAGAACTACTGCATCAAAATTAAGCATGTGGGCTCAGTAACTCATATTTTTGAGAAAAAGTTTGTTTTACTGTCAGTGCACTTCATTAAATATCCTTGGGTTATAAATATCAGCAAAGCAGTTCATTTTTCAGTAAATGAAGGTGATGTGGAGATCTGATGCACCGGCAAGGCAAGGAAAGATTCTGAAGAACAAAACATGGGGATGATACCTTTAGTTTCCTGTGCTTAGAATGTTACCTGTATGCAGGTTAAAAGTGTGCTAGTTTTTCCCAGCTGTTTGCTGAGGCCCAGTGACAATTCCTTTAATGTAACAGATTTCATCTCAGGTGATTTTCCTCTCTGCCATTTGCTATTTACATGTGAGGCAGAAGGTTAGCAAAAGAGCAGGTGAGCACAGGGAACCTTTTAATCTGCAGGACGAAGTGCTGGGTAGGTGAGAGCGTGAGCACCTCTGGGAAAAACAGGCAAAGCTAAGACTGCTGCCAGTCTACCAGGTGGTTTTAATAGGCAGCTTTTATGTAGCAGTTGAGGCATCCATTATATTGTGTCTGCCAGACATTTGATACTGCATAGGACACAAATCTTAGATCATAATATTTGAAGGGGTTCCATGAAAATGAAAGTAGTTCTGGTTAAATAACAACCCTGATTTGAGAAAACAATCAATTATTTTTGTATTTTATAATTTTTGCCAATATTTTAACGCATTTTCAGTGTCTTGTCTGGAGATCTCATAATAGTAGAAATAGGAGAAGTTAACTGCTGAGATAAGAGATGAAATGGTGGTCTTTTATTTGATCACAGCCTGTTATTTTCCTCAATTTAGAATTGCTCTCTACAATGTGAGTTTTTGAAACAAACAGCTAAACTCTCTCCCATTTTTAAAGTAAGCCTTCTGTGAAAACAGGGACAGGCATCAGAGGAGGAGTATAAACATTGCTGTCATAGGTGATGCCAAGAATGTCAAAGCTCAGTTGAAGTTAAAACTAGCAAGGAGCGTAGAGATTCTGTCAGGTGGAGGAAATTCAGTGAAAACACCTGTTGATGAATGGGATGGGCATCCCGTTGGTGGGTGACAAAGAATAAGCTGAAATACTTGTGCTTCAATCTTGAGAGACAAAGCTTGACTCCAATACTCTGCCTATCAGCATAGTTAAGGAAGCGGAAGGCCAGCAAACAGTAGGAGGAGCAATAGGTTCAAGGGCACTTACAGCTGGAAGATTTCTATTCCATAGAATGGTTGTGATAGTGAAGCAAGTGTTCATCATCTGTGATAAACCACTCTTGTAGTGAAAGATCACTGGTAGCTGGGGGAGGAAAAAGGCTAATCCTGTGTGTGTCTTCAGTATCAGAAGGTAGAACCTGGGTATTACAGGCTGAGCACCTCTAGCTCAGTCTATGGGAGGATTGAGACATGACCACCCAGAGTCTGATTATAAGGATGTGAAGGAAAGAAAGGTAATTGGGATCAGTGAACATGGATTTTTTTAAGGACAATTCCTTCTCAGCCAACTTGATTTGATAGTCAGCCATTGAGTGCAGAAGTCATTATGGATGAGGAAAGCAGGGAAGGCTTTTGACACTATCCCACATTGTTAACATGTTTTTATCACAAGTTTTGGCTTAGGGGTTAGATAGAAAATTTAGAAAATAATGTTTTTGAGAGGCTTAATGCAGCCTGGAACAGTCTACTTGGAGGGGACATCACCATCCTTGGAGTTTCTTTGATATTTGATTGTGTGAAGCAGTGATTGATCTGATCTAATTGAGGTTGTAATTGTGCTTAGAGTAGGTGGTTGGCCTAGATGATCTCAAGAGATGTCCAAGCAGTATGTCTGTGTTTCTGGGTTGTCTATTCCCTAGTACAAAGGGATGTTGCATTTGTTAAAAAGTATGTATGTTAGAGGCAATAATTGAGTTCAAATTCAGCAGGTGTTTCTTTTAATGTTGATGACAAAATCTGTGGGGTTCTAATAGTATTGAGAAGATACAATTGACAATACTGGTAGAAAACAACTAACCAAACAAAAAAAACATAGCAGAAGGGTTGGTGACTTTTGTGCTAAATAGGAACACAAACACTGCCAGAGGGAATGGTTGTAAAGGCTAAGTCCTTTAATATGCAACATTAACTACATAGAACCAATCTCAACCTGTTATTTTTTCCAGAAATCTGTACAGTGGTCTCTGCCTTACATTGTGTTTGGAGCAGCTGGTCTGTTGTCTGGGTTCTTAAGCTTATTGTTGCCAGAGACCTTAAACAACCCTTTGCTAGAAACTATAGCAGACCTGCAGGAGTGCTCCTACTGGAGGCTGGGTGATGAAGCTATGTCACTGCAAGGCCTAGATGGCTCACAGGTATACTATTTTTTTTTCCTAGTATTTTTCTGTTGTGTTTATTTCAGCTGTCAGCTTGAATCTGCTACTCTAAATAGATTAGGATAGTGATTCTTGGCCTGCGGAGGATAGGCCCCAAGAAGAAGATAATGTAGCAGCCCTACCATCATGTCTGAAATGTTTTCTGGAAATGCAGGCTGAAATATAGCTGGATTAATTCATCCCTTCAATGCCACAAACTTACAACATTTCCCTTTGGGATGAAGTGATGTCTGGGCATCTCTAATCTCTAAGACTGACTGCTGCAGTGTGCTTCAGCCAAAGCTGGACACTGAAGCTTGAGAAGCCTTAGATGTTAACAAAACCAGAAGCTTGTTTGTGAAGGGATGCTCTCAAAGGCAGCACACTACTTCTGACCTGCCCCAGCTGTTCTGCAGTGCCAGTTACTAGGTCTGTCCTAGACAGGCTCTGAATGGGTTAACACCAGACTAAACTCTGAGAGCTCTCTCACTTTTGACTCTGGGAAATGAGATTCATTGAAAACATTGGAACTACAAAACTCCCAGGTATAAGCATAAAAAATGTGGCAGCAGGATGTTTTTCAATGAGCTTTCCTTGAATTGTGTTTTTCAGATTGCTTTATTTTGTTAAACACCTCTCTAGGTATCTGTATCTTCCAGTCATGTGGAGTTTTTTTTTACATGGTTACTTCTCTGTGAATGAAGCAGGATTAGAAAGAAGTAGCTAGAGAATTGGAAGTGAGTGTTCGAATTTAGATAACTTTTAAAGTTTAAATCCTGGTCCCAAAACTTTAAGTATCAAGGGACTTACAGAAATAGAATAAGTGGTCAGAAGACTTGAAGGGAAACTCGTAACAAAAAATGTTAGTTGCCTCATTAGGCTGAGAGATGAGACAGGATCTTTTTAACACCTTTCATTTCAATAGTTGTTGGTCAAACACTCTGAGAATCACAGGTAGTCATACTTATTTTGACAGAAATCATGTACTAGAATAGGGACATTTGATTCCTATCAGAAGCTTCAATATGTTGCCTTGGTAAACAAGTTTAGCTGTAATAGTTCTTGATAGGACAGCACTATTTAGTGACAAAAACACTCTTGAAGAAAGGCTGAAAAAGGCAGCCCTGTAACCATTAATTTTATACTTAAGCTACTTTACGTGCTTATTTTATAAACGTTTTCAACCACACTGGATAATGTGTTATGGCACCACATTCTTGCTGACTACACAAATCCATCATATAGGTTTACATCAGCTGTTGTTTTGATAATTGCATGATTAATACATCTTAATTGTTCAGATGATTTACCAATGAAAGCAATTTTTGCAAGCAGTGCAGGTGTTACAGATTAGAGGTGGGAAGTCACATTTTTATTTTCTTCTTTAACCCACTACAGTTGGTTTTACCCTTTGAAGTGACAAGTATTGTCTGTTAGTATTCCCACAAATTGCTTCGCTTATGTCAGTCAGTCCTCTCAGGTTTAAATCGTCATTGTTTGTGCTTCTGTAAGCTTCTTAAAAATCCCAACCTGAACAGGACCCATGAAAGGTAATGTTGTTCCGAATGTTCTTCAGGAACAGATGGAATAAAATTACTGAATCTGAATGAAAAAGCCATTGGTTCAGGCCTTAACAAGGCCATGAGAGGTCTTACGAAACTGTTTTAAAACAGCTTTATAATTTATTTGGCATACCCTGAATAACTCCTCTGGAATCCATAGTCCTTTTGTACCATTTTCAAGATAACATGTTCTGATTGCCCAGAATGGAGGTTTTGTTCCTGTTAACATACATGAATGTGATATTCAAGTTGGACAGCATCCAATGATAGTCTGACTTTCCTCAAATACTTTTAGAAGTCTAAAAAAAAAAAAAGCCTAACATGATTCCTTTTAAGTCTTCTGACATGTTGTTATGCTCAAACTGCTTGAAACTTCTTTGCAGTTAACACACATTGCTGTAGCAAAGCTCCTCTGGAGAGAGATCTAAAGCTACAGATTTTGCTTGCATGGTACTGTCAGTCAGGAGCGCTATTTCCATTTCTCTGTTTTTCACCTGCTGTCTCACTCTTCTTAGCATATGACTAGGCAGGCAGAGGTCTTAGGATGACTGCAAGCATACTGGGGAAAAATCCTAAATAATCAAATTAGATGGAGTTTATACTAGCAGGAGAACCTTTTTAACTGGAATCATTAGTGTCAGTTCCATGGAAGAATGCTGCACTGGCCAAATAAAAATCAGTTAGCTGTAATAGCTGACTTTATTTTGGGTATGTGGTATAAATTATGTTGTGTAAAGGACTCTGATTGGATTAGGTGTGCCATAATAGGGATTTTGCCTTCTGAATATACAGCGTGGTAATGGCTTTTCCCTTTTCCATAACACTTTGATTTATTATTGCAGGGGTATCGTTTTAATTCAACTTGCACAGTAAAATGTCTGTGCTACCTGAGGAAAAGTATTAATTCTGGATGGAGAAGCTTTACCTAAACAAGTAGTATGTGTGTTCTGAGCTGTGGTGAGCTACTATGTTTCCAGTAATTCTCCACAGAGCATGCATCTTAGACTAAATTTAAGAAAGTTTAGTAGATTACCACTTCAGAACCATGCTAGCCAGTCTCTCCTGCCATATATTCGCTAGTGTACTGGTGAAGCAGAAAAAGTCCATCCACTACAACCCCATGTGTCTTAAGGATACTTTGAAGAACCAAGGGTTTAAATCTGAATTCATGTAATGTCTTCTACAAACTTTTAATGCAGTGGTTTCACCTGTGTTTTCTTACCTTTTCTATACTAGCATTCTATAGGAGCATAACGGTTCATGCTCATGAATGTCAAGATTGATTTAGTGGCTTCAGTCTAACTAATGACTTCCCTTTTGCTTCTAGTCTGGTGACAGAGACAGCTCTACAGGGAGTGGAAGTGAAGATGAGTTCTATGATGCTGATGAAGAGACTCATATGATCAAGTAATGAAAAGAAGAAACACTGGCCTATTCTATGCCTCTTCTTGCCCAGTCAGTCCAGCTGTATGACAAGTACTGGGGACCTTGCTTGCCAGGCAATGTAATTGGGCAAGTGCCTGTGTTTTTCCCTACTAGGAGAGGGATTTGACTACTGTTCAGACTGATGACATCACTGATGCGTTCCATACGAGGCAGCCATTTCAATTCTTGTGGTTCAGAATGACAGTGCATGGACTGCATTTAAAGCCAGGTGAGACAACAAGAGTGAGATGATGTATTTCAGAAGCCCAGGAAATAACCTAGGCTTAGACAGGTTTGGACAGATCATCAGTGCACATGTGTTAGTATTTTATTTTCAAAGTGGTGGATTTTGTTCCATTACAAATTGGTAAACTTGGAAACAACCACTGTATTTTTCCATAAGGGTGAAAGTGGTCAGAGAATGTGTTGTGTGTTACTCCAATGGGAACAAATTGCTGAAATTGTATGTTAAAATGGCTTTTGCATATTTGGTAGAGGAGAGGCAGCTGTGAACAAAAGGTTTCTCTGTGTGCACACCTGTGCAGAGTTACAGGTGCAGCTGGTTAGTCATGAGCTGGGCTTTAACTTAGTGATAACGGAAGCCTGGGAGGAAGGACTACACAAAAGAGCAGCTGCAAAGCCTGTGGACATAAGGAACGTTACTGACTTTTAACCTTCTTTTCATACACAAAACTTTTTCTTGGTCTATCTTGTGCCTGTGTTTGCCATGTGTTCCCCACATCTTAGCATGGCTGTTTATTGCTTTGCCTACTTTTACCTTGTCCTCACTTTGCCATAACTATTGAAGCTCAACAACTTCTCTGTGCAGTCAAATAATTCTGTGATGGATATCATTTCCTGGGTGTGACAAAGGTGAGGTATTTATCACATACCTTGTGTGTGTGGTGTGTTAGAATGTATAGCTCATTTTTCTGGACCTGTCTGTGTCTTTATTTCTGGAATGGCTTAACTCTAAATGGTAAGAGGAACTATAGGGTGCTGCTATATTTCGGATGTTGTTGTCAGGAAGCTGCTAGTGTTTATTTTCAAATCTTGTATGTAGCTACGGTTTTCCTTCAGAAAGAAAACAAATATCTTTGGATCTTTTTGGTTACTTGATGTTTTTTAACCAGTGCTTGCTTAAGCACTCGGTTTCTTGACCTTCTTAAGGAAAACAATTTAACTTTTCTGTTTTCACTGAACTTTCTGTAAGTGCTTCATTAGAGGGGTATGGAATCCTGAAATATGAAACATGAACATGTGAAATGTTCAAACTACAAAAATGAGGCCTTACAAAGATTCCGTTTTCTTGATTACATTGCCATCTTCATCCTCTAACCAGTGGCTTTCTCTTTGTTAAGATTTGTTTCCATAAAATGTTAGTCTTCCTACTTTGAGTTCCTAGTAAAGTGCCACACAATGACAGCAAATATATTTTCAGGTTCGTGAGCCATTTTTGCAGACCTTAGAATTAAAAAGGTGGGTCTAAAAGTATCAAAATGCTGTCTGCTGAATATTTCCTGATTAAATTGAGAAGTTCTTTTACTCTGCAAGGAGGTGAAAGTAAACAGCATCTGAAATTTGCAGCTAGCTGCTTGAACTTTGTTCACTGGGAAGCGTAATGCTGAGCAAGGTGCAGCTGCCCTGGTTGGTGTAGAAGGCAACTCAGAGTCTGCAGTTTCACACATGCAGCAATCCAGTTGGATGTGAACTTGATCCAGGTGTTGACTGTGAGCAAAGATGGGAACTTCAGTCCCTATGGACAGTCTGTCAGTATTGTTGAGTTTTTTGCCTGTATTATGAGTGTCACTGGAAGAATTCTCACTCATGGTCTTTGCTTTTTTTCCACCCCCCCCGACTCATGAGTGGTTGTTGTAGAAGTGGTACTTTTTAACCCAGCTGGGTAGTCTTTCTGCCTTATTTGGCCCTTCTGTGTATAAGAAAATTTCACCAAATAAGGTACTCAGAAATAGTGAGAAAAATTGAATTTATTAAAATATTTTTAAATTTTTTATTCACACTTTAATTTATGGACGGCTGGGAAAATGACTTTTTATTGCTGATGGCAGACAGCAGTAAGCCTGGAAGTATTAACATGTTGGCAAGAGCCAATAGTTGTTTCTAGGTGTTTGTTGCCTCTGTCCCTCTTTGGGTGGAATAAGTCAGAAACTGTCGTTATCTTCTCCTGGCAACTTTGTGTAATGCCTCAAGACCCTCAATAGAACTTTCATTAACAGTAGAATGCTGTAATGGTTCGGGTGGAGAAGATTACTCTTTACAGGACCTGAGCTAGATTTTGTTAGTCTTCAACTAAAAATTAAATTTACCTTTTCACTCATGCTCTTTTATATCATTGGTATACATATGTAAAATTGCAAAAACAAGAGTGAAGGCATAATTAGCAAATTTTTGGCGTAGGAATTGCTGCTTTTTTTTAAACCTTAAATCTGTCCTGTGTTTTCACCTTTGGAATTTTGAAGGGAATATTTAAAAAGGAATTTTAAATCTTCCATTGTTACTTTCCCATATCAGTTAATTCAGAAAGTTTAGAGCAGAGAAACCCTGCAGGAGGAGCTCAGCAATGTAACATAAGACTTTGCTCTCCAGCTTTGTGTTCTGAAGTTCAAATCCATAAAGGTGCATAAAGTTTCTTTTCTGAGGCTGTTCATTTTTAGTATGAGCTGGCCTTCTGGTACAGAAACCTGTAGGATCAATTTTCTTCTTACCGATGATATATAATTCTTTACAATATTGAGATACAACTATCTCAGTGTCTGGGGTAGTAAGTTTGCTATGAGGAGCTATTGGAAAGCAGAGGATGATGCAGCACTGGATAGTCAGTTTACTGCATATTGTAGTGCTAGGAATCTGAGACCAAGGTTCTTGCTATAGTTTAGTGCAGTATAATAATCTTCTGCCAAGTTTTTGCTAGAATAGCCAGTACTCTTAGCTATTTTCATGTTGTGCAGGTGCTAAGATACCACTTTTCCCAAGATAGAATTTCTTCTCTGGATTCCTTTATCTGTGGTTTTCTGTGTTTTTATTTTCAGGTAGCTCACTTACTGGGTTTTTGCTAGAGAGAAGAGAGCCTTTCCCATAATGCTGATTAGTCATGTCTCAGCAGAATCCCAAACATACCTCACCTACCTGGGGAGCTCACAAGTGATAAGTGAATACATCTAAGAGTGAAGGAGAGTGACAGGTCATGAGAGGCAGCATGGAGGAGAATGAGCTGGAAGAAGTAAAAAAAAAAAAAAAAAAAAAAAGTTGGATTCAACTGAAACACTTTAGGGCAAGGGTAAATAAAGCACAAAATAGCAGCTGTTGGGTAGAAATACCATTCTTGCTCCTTGTCTTGACTTGAAGTTTTTGCTTTCAGAGCTAGTATTGGTTCTAGAATGTCATATTGGGGATATCAGTTTCATAATTTCCTTTTTAATATCCACTGTGTCCAGCACTGCCTCTTCAGTGATGAAACGTTTATTTGGATCAAAATAAAATGTGGCCTGCCTCTTTTCTTTTGGACTCAACTTCTTTATGAAATGGCATTGCACCGAAATAATTAAAATTAGAAAGCCCTGTTTTGGAGATTGTTGTATAACCGGTTATTATGACTTAATTTGCCAACTTTCCTTTAGCATAGGAATGTTAGAAATATTTGTTGTGTTTGTCATACATCCTCTTGTGAAATTATGCTTCAGCCTTCTAAAAGGATTTTATTACCTGGCTTCTTTTGGTAGGCTGAAGAGAACACAATACAAAAGTGACTAGACAAGTTTATTTTTTTAAATTTATCCTAAAAACAAAGCTAGTGCTGTCTGTTTAGGAATTGGGAAAGTGCTGTTCAGAGACTCCTGATATACCAGAAATTTAGAAGCCATGTGTTAAGGGAGAGCCAGAGATGACTCAGGATGCTGAGTGAAAAGCCTCTCCAGAGACAACTAACTAACATGGAGCATGTTGTAGCTTGTTTCCAGCATAGTTACAGTCAAGGCTTTAAGGATGGGAGCCACATGCTCATCAGCTCAAAGTGTGCAATCCATGTCAGTGTTTCCAAACTGTGTGGATGTTCTGAGGTTAGTAGGATACCATTTACAAAACCGTGGGGAATGCAGTTGAGCCACACATTTTACAGTGTATTTCACCTAAGCATTTAAAAGCAGTTTGCCAGAGAATGTTTTTCTTGCATGTCTTGGTTTGAAAGACAGGTATTTTTTTAAGGAAAGGCAAGAACCCTTTCCTGAGATGCAGAGTGCAACCCCCTCCCTTCTAGTTATTTTAGTTTCAAATCAGAGGCTGTCAGGCAGAAGATATGGGGATAGGAATAACAGTTCTTTACTGATATGTAACAAGGCAAAATAGCAGAAAACAACAACAGCTATAAAAATCTGAGAACAGAACAGTATAGCTCAGTTCCAGTCCCTTTTGGCCACAGGCTCCCTCTCCCTGTGCTGAGTTACTGGTGCTGTGGGCAGGGCAGGTCCCGCTCAGCTGAAGGGGCTGGGTGATGGCGGCGGCGGCCCAGGGGTGAGAGGGATAGAGGAGCGACTTCCCCCTCATGGTGTCGGTCGTGATGCTCCGGCAGAGTGCCCGGAGGTAGTAGAATGAAGTGGGAAAGCAGCAGAGTGATGTCCAACGGCAGGGAACATGGCTCTCGGTGCTGGGATGGCAAGGGAGATACTAGATCGGAGCACGGGCCGTCCCCCTACCACTCCACGAGCGAAGCGAGAGCGAGAGCCTCCTCCAGACCCCTCTCCCATCTTTTCCTTTTCCAGTCTCCCCCCACCCCCCTGTAAGAGAAGACCATAGCTACTAAGGTGTAGCCACAAATACTTAGCATTACGATGGGGAAAATTCCACAGCAAGAAAAGAGAACAATTCAACCCCCAACATTGCACTGAGGAAAAGGGAAAAGTGAGGAATTTTTTCATGGGAGCATTTAAAGGGAGCATTTGAGCTAAAACTCTTGTTCCTGAGTCTGCTGAATGGAGATTGGGTTAGTAGTATTTTGTTTTAGCTGAAGGTTGGTGTGCTGTTTATCGCTTTTCCCACCCTGTGAGCCTTGCAGTAAAAATCTCAGAAAAGCCCAAGAGTGATGCTGTGATTTGATGATGGAAGTTAGTCTGGCCTGACACAATGCTTGTATCAGAAATGTCTATATTCAGCTGTTCACCAAACAAGAGACTTAGGGTATAGCTATATTTTGAGTCTCATTCATTGTATCTTACTGCAAGATACATGGTAGAAAGACACCTATGTAAGAAAACCTCTCTGGCAGATCTAAATGTACAATTGGAGGGTGAACAAATTTATACATGACTTTTCCATGCTGTGTATTTTAATTTTGTCTAGTCTATTGTAGCCTTCAGATTTTTCAGGTGCTGCTGTTATTTAAGGCTAGTAAAGTGGGGTAAAACTTTTCCCAGATAGTCTGAATTTACTGAACCTTCTTGTCTTAATTTTGATACTATTCTCTGTTTCTGTCATTCTGAAAAATGCTCCTGTATTGCCTAATAGGGAACAGATTTTTTTGTTCTAATTTGAAGTGCCTGTTTTATAAAAGTAGTCTTTAATTTCTTCAGTCAGTTTTATATGGGACTATGTGTAAAGCAGCATCACAGAATTGGATTATGTAAGTGCCAAAGACAGTTTTTGCTGGAAAGCAATACTCCAAAACTAGTTCTAGCTGCCTACATTTAGAATTTATCCATGCAGCCTGCCAGAACTGGTATTTACAAGCATCCCTGAGACTATAGGGACAGAGAGTTAGCTTTGTTTGCTTGTCTTTCATTTCTCAGTTCACTTAAGTAGCTTTTGTTTCTGAGTAACCAAAGAAATTAAATGAAGGATTAAAGTGTTTGTTTTGCAGAACATTCAGAATTTATACCATGTAGCCATTACAGAGAAATCTGCAGAACCTGTTTGATTCTGAGTTGCAAATATCAAAGTCTACTCTAAGACTGATAAAACCTGTTTAAAAACTGCACGCTTGAATTCGTTACTTCATTCATCAATCTTACAAATTAGCATTGCTAGTAAATAGTTTGCCTGGAGCTTTATGGCATCTAGCAGATTTTTATAAAATGCACAATCTGTTTAAAGCATTGCTAAATAATAATGTATGGATTTTAAATCCCTATTACAACCAATATTCATTGCAAGTCAACCTTGTCATGGCTGCATGTTTGTCAGCAAAAAAGCAGGTAGGCAAAACTTTGTGCAGCAAGGGCTGATTAGGCCCAGAAGAAGGATTATTTCTTTGAAGCCATTCTCTGTTATGCGTACAGAATAAAGGGGGACCTCAAAGTGTACATAGCAAGACTGTAAGATGGAGTATATTTAAATACTTGCTCGCCCTCATTCACTATAGGTTTCTAGGGGAAATCTGTCTTTATCATGCATGTTACTGCTTCCCACCAACACGCCTGAGGTGCTCATATTATACCTACTTTGTCAGGAGCCAGGCAAAAAGTATGGCAGTAAGAAAACTTTTGCCAGTATTGAAAGTTGCATTTACTTGAAAATGTCTTGGGAGAGGTATCTAGTACATCTGTTTTCAAATAAAATGTTTTTAAATTATGGAAGCCTGATTGGGAGACACGCATTTCTGATGTTAGTTTGTAGGAAAAATCGGTTTTGCAGATGCTGATGAAAATCGTTTCAGAGCAAACAACTACTAGGTGATTTGTGATGAGAGTTGTGTATGCTTTGATTTCAAGTATGCCTCTAAAATACTGATTTCTAGTATTTGATCCCTTTCACTCCTCAAAATCCAACCCAAATTTTTTTTTCTTGTTAAAATTGGAGTAATGTGGAAATGGGAGGTATATTTTTCACATGGATAGTTTTATTGCACTACCTTTACTTCCTGAATCAAATACTGTTTTGATTTTCTAAGCTACCTCTTTATGTTGAGATTTTTTTTGTTACTTTTGTATTCAATTGATTTTGGGGAAACTACAAAATAATTCCTTTTTTTATTTGTGTGGGAATCCATGACTTAAAGTACTCAAGTCATCCTTTTCTTTTAAAGGTTTTGTCAAAGGCCTCTTAAATTTAGTTAAAAGACTTAAAACTTTCAAGGAACATCATAACTGCACACTTAGAACATGTTTTTTCTATATACATTATTTGCCTTTAAAAGGGACAGAAAGCCCTTAATTTTATACTAATGTCAGCTGAAGACATGACTTTTCAGGGGCAGTAAGTTTTGAGTTGGGATGCTTTAATCAATTTAATTTCTTGCCAGTTAGAGGTTTTTATTACTGCTTTGGTATTGGAATTAAAAATAATGAAAACACTTAGGGAAAATACTGCTGCTTTTCTCCAGACACCAGTGTTCCTTGTCTCTCCTCATGCCATCGTCCAATTCCTTGGCTGCTTGTCATACTCAGTCCCTTCAGCAAGGCAACAGGCAGTGCAGGAGACTGAGATCAGTCCGTTTTGCTTCTGTTTATTCACTGCTCTTTGTTTCTTGTTCCACTGCTCTCTCCTGGGTTTCATCACCAGCCTCAGTCCTTTTAGAGTTGTAGCTCCTTTTGAGTCTACTCTCAGCCTCTGCTCGGGCTGATTTTTCTTTGGTGTTTCTCCTGCTCAGCTGTGTGTCAGTTTCCCTTGTGCTGGCACGGGCTTATCCTTTTTCCTCATCCTATTGTAGCACTGTAATCTTTTTCTTGGTATTTACAGCCCTGTCTTAAACATGCTTTTGTCTGTGTGCCAGCAGCTTCTCTGGCAGTGTTTGAGTGCAGTGGGTCAGTGCTCACTAGGCCCGAGAGGCAATGGGCTCTACCTGAAACATGGGAGAATCCATCTGAACATAGGGAAGCACCTTTTTAATGTCAGGGAGATGGAGCACTGGCACAGGTTGCCTGGAGAGCTTGTGGAGTCTCCATGTGTTCAGATAGTCAGGAGTTATGGGGACATGGTCCTAGGCAGTCTGCTTTAGTAGTTGGCTCTGCTTGAGCAGGGAGGTTGGGCCAGGTGAGCTCCAGAGGTGCCTTCCATCCTCAGCCATTCTGTGATTCCTGTACTGGCTGCTGCTGAGCTGTCTGGGACCAGTACAGGCAGTCCTTGGCATCTCTCCTCACAAGACACCCTGCAGCCCCCTCACTGCCCTGACAGCCATGCTCGTACACCACTCTACAGGGTTTTCTTGCACATCAAGTCCTGGGCTTGGGCTGACAGGTGGTTGGTACTGTGTTGCCTTTCTGTGTTGCTGTTGTTTTAGGTCAAGTAACTGAAACTCCTAAGGACGTAAACTGACATTTATAGCCAAACTCTGTGTCTGTGTGCATTTATGTCCTTGCTGATTTCAGAAGACCGAACTTAGACCTTCTCTTGACCAGAGGACCAGCCAAAAGGGTAAACTACTTTTTTTGCTGCTCCACATTTCATCATCATGAAAACAAATCCTTGTCTAGTCTCTATATCCTGTGGACTTTCGCATTGTTTTCTCATTCCTGTTTAATTTGAGCTAACAATCAAAAGTCCTTGCCAGTTGAGAGCTGAGTAACAGGAA